TAATTCAATGCAATATACATATTAAATTGCGGATTTGCTTTCACTTTTTGGGGCAAATACCAACAAATGCATGGCTGTAGAAAAACTTAGTTCTATAATATTAACTTTTCATATAAATTCATATTTTAATAAAAGTTATTGCTTCGTAAAGAATTTTGATTTGCTATTAAATTGAGTATAAAAAATTCAAGAAAAAGTACAAGATACAGAAAAAGTAAAATGAAAAATAACTATATTTAGTATAATGTATAGAGATATCAATTCCACATCAAAACTATTGCTATTCTAGTAGTGGTAATAGAGATATATGTCAGGTGCTGAAATCACCTTGTAAGTATAGTTATTTGCAAAAAAATTAATGAGAATTTGCAAATTGAAATAACAATTTTCGTAATGTATAATAGTTTTGACATTTATTTATCACCCATGTAGAACTTAATAACTGATATTAATAGATATTCATACAAATTTTTAAACGTTTAAGTATTTTAAAGAATATTAACAAATAATAATTATGAAAAAATGCAAAAATGTAATAAAATAAGATGTAGTAAATATATTCTTTGAAGTAATAAACATCAATTTGTTGAAATAGAAGCTTATTTTGTGGTGATAATGAAAAAACATAGCATGTCGCATCAGAAATTTAAAATAAAAAAATTAAATTAAAAAAAATATTGCAATTTTATATCAAGCATTTGTATACAAAAGTCTGAAAGTAAATTGAATCTAAAAATTTAAGTTTTAATTTTATATGGCTCTGAGTGAGACTAGTAGCTATCACATTAGTTTTAAATGACAACAGCGATTAATTCGCTGATAATCTTAGGGTTTAGAATCCCAAAATACCTAAATGCCATATTACAATTCATTAAAACCCTTCCACAATAATTCATGTTATCTATAGAATAAATCGTTTAGCTTGAAATACACTTGAATAGAATTAGCATGACTTAAAAAGAAATTTATCCAAAAATATATTTAATATTGAAATATATATCTTATTTTGATAGGACAATATGGAAATCAATAATATATGCATACAAAAATATGAACAGATTTGAGATCTATTATTTACTCAAAAACCTACCTTTTAAACTACATTTAAAAAAGTTTTTGGAAAGAACATTCGAAATTAAAATTACCACAGTGATTATTTGCGTAAATATATTTATTTTAAAATAATTATTTTTTCTGAATTCATATAGCATTTTCCATTATATGGAAAAAACGCACGGCGTGAAAGTGATCGCTGATAAATATTTTGCAACACCGTGTGGGCGATTAAGATATTGACAAAGAAACATGATCATGCTAGTATTTCTTTCCGTTTGAAACTAATGAATGTTGGTAAGAAAACAAAAAGAAACTAGTGGGGTGCATGGCATCGTGCCTTAAGGCAAATTGCTGGAACTTCCCGTACCGTAATTAAAAATCTTGGTACGGAACGCAAAAAAAATTACATAAAATGTGTACATATTATTAAAATCTCTATAAAATATCTGATAATTTGATGTACATATGTCCAATAAACATTTTTGACCGCCAAATGATATTTTTTTAACTTATTTTTATTGAGAGTCCATAACTGCTGAACCTGCCTTCCCAAAAAATGTAATCAGTTCTTTATCTTGTCAATACAAGTAAAATGTTTTTTGAATTATTAAAATCGGTTGATCGGTGTTCCCGAAATCGTCGACGAAAGTTTGTATCCGCACACATACACACAAACACATACATCCATTTTTTCTAAGATATGCCAGAATGTTCAGAAACCTCTAAAACATAAAGATATATAAAAATTTTCATTTTCGATTTTTTTGCGATTACTATAACTTACCCTACGGGCAGTTAATATCTCACAATATTTGGTAAATAAATACATGCAGATATAACCAATATAAAGGAAACGTTTTAAAAATAATATTTGAACATAGAAAAATATACTTTACACTAAATACTAAAAAAATAGTGATAGCAAAACTTTTGTTACTAATCAAAACAATAAAAAATAAATTGTAAATGGATATGTGTTTAATTCAAGTAAATGTAAATATAGAGAACATATACTTACAGCGCTTCTATCTTTTATCAATTATATCATTTGCATTCCATTAACACAAGAAAAATCAAATATAACTATTAGAAAATAATAACATACATCTGTAATATTCTAATCTTCGAAATGACGCATCATATGATAAAAAAGCATAACGATGTAACAAAATTATTTTAGTTACATCGAAATGGTCTGTAAATACTGATTACCTGAGTAAATATATCTATATTTATACACAATCGCTTTGTTTTACCTTACGTTAAATTTTGCCTGATTCGTAGTCATACAGCCGAACTATCTAATCGGTAGAGAGTAGGGTAATGGTAATATTATATATAAAACAGATATTTCGTTCAATAAAATTTAAAATATTATACTATTTGTATTGTAACCGTACACAAATAGGTGTACCAACTAAAACAGGCAGTAAACCCATTTCCCATTTAAATAAAAATAATATTAACATGAAACATGATTGAGATAATATTCTCTTAATTCTTCTAATAATCGTATTTTAATAGAAGTAATTCTTAAATATCTATCAACTCATATCTAAATTAACATTAATGTACTGTAATACAGTATATTACAGTATATCACCTTCATCAACTTATATCTAAGTTAACGTTGATATGCAGTAAATACAGTAATATTTGGTGCTACTTAATAAAGCACCCCATCAAACTAATAAACCATTAGATAAATATCGTAATATCAGACATAAATCTAAGAACACTAATAAAAATCAAAAGAAATATATAAGAAAATAATATTATCTTGTTTCTACAATTATTAGATAAACTTTGAAATAGGATGCTTATTTGAGACTATTAAATCCCAATCTTTTACTTATTAAGAAAAGTAAAACTTTTATAGTTCAGTGATTTGAAATTACATTTTCATAAAAATATACAATTAGTTTAAGTAATATATTTTTTCCCATATTTTATAGCTGCAAAACAATGTGTTATGGTAAACTTTTAATAAAATCAATATATAATTCGTCACAAAAGCATGCAAATAAAATCAAATATTGATTTTTTTGATTTCTTGACAATTAAAAAATAAAAATTTATATATATTTATTAAATACCAAGCGGACTATAATTTTTTCAAAGCATAATATATAATGGTTATAGTGTAATCTTATATTAAAAACTCTTGCAAAACATTAATTATTATAACGAATCTAGAAAGAATTTACAGGCTTTTTATTTATACAAGTTTTTTATCTAATTTAATTTGTGACAGTAATGTCAACGTGCAAACGGTTCAAGTTACTTGTTCCGTTTCTACCGAGAATTAATATATATTTATTATAATTTTAATGGAAATGAAAAGTTCAAGATATTAATTATTTTACAAAACCTATTTTGTGGGAAGTTTAATACTGCGCAAGAGCGGAAACTGATATTGCACACAGCGGACATATTATTTCGTCCAGCGATTACAAGTAAAAAGCAGTTCAGTTAGAAATAATGCTAAAAACTGATCACAAACTATATATATATATATATATATATATATATATATATATATATATATATATATATAATATATATAGATTTTAACACCAAATGCTGCAGAAAACGGCCTACTCTACAG